GCACTTCAGTGCGCGCCACGCTTGCCATCGAAATTCAATTTTCCCTCCTTACTCTGACCTCTATCTACTTTTCCCTCTTTCTGGGACCTCCCGGGCGAGCTGACTTCTCAGAACCGAACGATTATCTGGGTGGCAACTTTGGAGCCCACTTTGGTTCACAGTTTCACGCTCGTCGCGAAATTGAACCTCCCCTTCCTATTCAGCATCCATCCACTTCTTTCCACTCTTTCTGGGACTTTTCTAAACCTCTTATGAGGTATTTTACACAGCCCAGTCTAGAAAGTTCCGCAACCTATGGGCGAGCTTCGGCCGAAGTTAGGTGTGCTGGAAACAGCCTGAGTATTGACCGATTTTCCTGCGACCGGGTGGAATACCAACCTTTACCACAGCCCCCAATCTATACTGCAATTTCCAACCTCATTCGAGCCCTTTACGCGAAAATCGATATTTCCAACAGAAATTTTGGCGCAAGCCCCGCCCATCGGGTCGGCCCCGCCCACTACCGTATCCTTTTAGGCAACCGTACACGACCTAAGGACAACCCTACCCACCCATCCGGGCCCATCTCCCAAGTAATTTCATGGGTCTACGTAGCGAGTGAGCCTAGTGGTTACAAACAGACAGACAGACAGACAGACAGACAGACAGACAGACAGACAGACTACTGTTTTATTTTTTTTCCTTACTGCTTTATATATAGAGGGACCCATCTCCTAAGTAATTTCATGGGTCTACGTAGCGAGTGAGCCTAGTGGTTACAAACAGACAGACAGACAGACAGACAGACAGACAGACAGACAGACAGACAGACAGACAGACAGACAAACATCCTTACTGCTTTATATATAGAGGGACGAGTGAGCCTAGTGGTTACAAACAGACAGACAGACAGACAGACAGACAGACAGACAGACAGAACAGACAGACATCCTTACTGGCTCTTTATATAGATGGATTGTGTTTGCAAACAGATCGTAGTAAGTATTGCGTCAAGAGCCTCGGAGTTCATTGGGAAATAACCTCGCAAAAGGCCTCTAGATAATAACACCGAAAATAACGGGTAAATGATAAGCAGAAATAGTCGCCTTCACCTGTGTTTTTGGATTGTTAAACCAAGCTACGTTTTTGGCCCGCAGATTCCGTTCGCCTTGCGAATGTTTCACAAGAATGCTGGGTTGTGAACAAAACTTTCGCCCCAGGCGGGACTAGAACCCGCACCTCTCGCTTTCCGGGCAAGTGCGCTACCAGTTACGCTACCGGGGCACCATTTCATCCCAACTCAGCTTTTCATGGTATACGTACCACCAGTTTTGCTACGCCCGCTATGGCTCGCATGTCAACAGAAGCTTCTATGAAACAGAGTCTAGCGTGGCTGTTGTATTAAGCAACATACTGCTGTTCAACTGATTTTACTGGTGGTATTAAGAAGAGCAGATGATTAAAGCAGTAATTTCTCATAGCTCTAATACCAATAAACATCCATCGTTGTTCTAGAACGAACAGAGTCTAGCTTCCGAATGGCTTTTGGATAACCAATACAATTACTCGGGCCTGTGAGAATACGGCAGGACGGCAGGTCACACGGTGCGGCACCGCCTTGCTGGAAGATCACTTTTTACGCGGGGTCGTCTTGACCGGGCAGGACGTACCGTATAAAAGGCCGACCCCGTAACTAAATAGTCTCCTACATCGGTCTTCTATTACATTCGTGTTCTACTTCGTCTCTCCAGCTGCAAGTTCCCTTGGAATTCTAGCCCTGCCCTTTTTTCTCGTTTTACCTGTTAATTCGTTGCGTTGTTTGATAAATTATTCTCGTTCGTGGCTTGTCACCTGGCAAGACTCTGGGAGAAATCAATATTGAACTACTAAGCGGCATTCAGACGAGGTATAGCTGGCCAGGATGCGCTCAGTAACCGACATGGGGGCCAAGCAGCCCAGACCAGACACGCATGACGAGGACATGGACGACACCGATGGAGAACAGGTTGGATTTTCTATCGTCCTTAGAGAACAAAAAGAAACACCCCGCTCCTAGGTGAAGTGTCTGCGATCACAAGAGGCTTGTAACGAAGCTCTGAGCTGTCACTTCAAGAGGTGAGCAGCCATTCTGAGGCTCCGTAGAAGCTTGCTCAATGTTTTGTAGCAGGATAATTGTGATAACACTCCTACGGCTATATAAACACCCACTGAGCACACTTCCGGTCATTTCCACATGGTGCTGCAATGGCAGCTGGAGGGCAGTGGTGAGTGTAGGGATGATGGGTAGGTGAGCGCAAGAACCAATCACCAACGGACCTAACGTGCAGTGGGGTATGATATCTCATTCTACCGTCATGTCATGATTATGGCGATGCTCTCTACCTTATCAAGCTCCTTTTTGTTGCATACGCGTCAACACCACGAGTTTGCTTTTTGTTGCATACGCGTCAACACCACGAGAAATTGATGTCACAGGTGGAAGGGACCACAGCGGAAGACGTGAAGCCTATGCAGAGAATGAAGGTCCCGGAATTTGACGGGAGATGAGTGTGGTTATTATAAAAGAATTCTGACATCAACTTTCCCAGTTTTGATTCGACACATGCTAGTGCATTTCCATGACACGGACTAAACACGGAAAGTTGTTGAGGGCTTTCTCAATATACCTCCACCTCTGAACCCTGATTCCAAGAAGGACTAGTCTTTGCTCATTTATCCAATAGTAAGTTTCCCATGAATCCTTGATTGTGCCACCTACGTGGAGTATACGTAGTGGATTTCAGACTGCCCACTAAGAATTTCATGCAAGCTCAATCGTGTTCTACGAGTTTTCTTTCCACCTTTTTTTGGTGCATGAATATGGGAGGAAGACCGATAAAGGAAATCAGAAAGGGTCAGCTCTTCGTATTAGACATCACAGCTCCATTACCCATACGAAACTGACTTGCCTGTCTTCCGATAACTGCACTAACTTTTCAATGATTCTCACCTCTGAAAACCTTTAATTGATGCCAGACCGTTATGCGTGTTGCTTCTGCGCCATTGAAAAATTTTAGCGCTGTCATGCGTAATATGAGTGCAGTATCAAGGTCATTAGATTTCCTTATTGGCACAAATATCTCCGTAAACAATAAGGGTTTCGTTATCCTTACTATATTTAATTCGATAAGTATGTCTGTGCGTTTGTGTACGTCTGTTTGTCAAAAAATTCATAGGGCGCTTCGCCATAGAGGAGCGCTGTATTTTAAGTATGTTGTAGGGGTGGGACGGGAACATATTTGGTGGGGGTCAGAAAGTGATAACGACTGATAAGATCCGATAAGAGGCGCCAAAACGCCAATTCCACGATATTCATAGCGCGCGTCCCAGCATCAGTGAGGCGTTGGTTCCAAGAAGTGATGTAGGGGGTGGGACGGGAACATATTTGGTGGGGTCAGAAAGTGATAACGACTGATAAGATCCGATAAGAGGCGCCAAAACGCAATTTCACGAATCCATAGCGCGCGTCCCAGCATCAGTGGGGCGTTGGTTCCAAGAAGTGATGTAGGGGGTGGGACGGGAACATATATGGTGGGGGACATAAAGTGATAACGGCTGATAAGGGCCGATAATAGCGATATGCGCAAGAATATAGAGGTCCTCAAAACAGACGTTACATAATGCATTTTATTTTCAATGCGTTTGCGTTGTCATCTTGGTCCTAAAACACATTAGACCGCAACGCTCCCCAGAATTCTTAGAACGTATGGCGGATGTTAAGAGAAATACGATAACGAGTACTGGGTGTTTCTATTTCAACATCAAACACAATCCGACCGCTAAATTACACTGACATTCGATGCATGGTGGTTGTTTACAGGACACCACTTTAGCTCCGCACTCCACTGCGCGTATCAAACGGTGAGCTTCTGCAAAGAAGGACAGCCTATGAAACGGTTCACTGGATATCATCCATGCATGCTGGAAGTAGCTTATCCGCGCGAATTCTATCAAGTGAGGTGGCTGCCACGTCATTTCCGGTGACACGCCCAATCGGACTTCGAGATATGAACTTTATATATACACTGAAACGCTTGGAATAGCTAACGCTTGTTCCGTATTTGCCACATTCATATCTAATATACTTAGGTGCATTTTTGAAAATAAGTTTAGAATGTTGCAAAATCTCAACAGCTAATAATTATAAAAATATTAATTAACTAACACAAACAAACTTTTCCACCTTTTTATTTAAAATTTTTTGCATACTTCAATCAATTTATATTTTAATACTGCATTTAAGTTATATACAATTAACTCAAATGCATGCTCCTCTGCATGAAAATTGTACGTCAATATTTTTTTCGTCTTTCCCCTGTGTCTTTATTTCGCCAATCCCAACTCACTGATGAGCTCCGGGGATTGACGAAATAATAAGGTTCGTCTGAGGAAGGAGCGAAACGAACCATTCAATTATTTCGTTTGTAAAGGGTTTATCTTCCTTAATGGAGAAGTTTACGATAGGAACAAGGTCAAAAAGGGGAAAATTGCATAGTTGGGAGACAGGCGGACCTCCTGAGTGCTGACCGACGCGCAATTGGCAGCGAAAGATTTGACCTCGGCGATCTAGCATGGCTCACTCTTGGCGCGGTTGGCGGGGTACGCCCACCGACTATCTAATCACTCGCCGCAGGTCTATACGTGGCGAGTGATTAGATAGCAGAGAGAGCGTAGTGTTGAAGAGGGCACAGCGATGAGTCGCATCAATGCGCAAATCAACGGGCAAGGAAGGGGCCCATTTCTCAGGTTCCGGACCGTTTCAAATGGTTTTTATCCCGGTCCCACTGACCACCTCCACCCTTATTTCCAATAAGCTAATTTTTATCATGAATTATGCCTCTAATTGAATAGTCGACGATGCGCGTGATTTTTTCCATACCCTTGTATATTTGTCAGTTATTGCACAAAAGATACGAAAACAATGAAGTGCACACGATTCCTGAACATTATTGGAGGGATGTGGAGCTTAAAAGCCGGCGTGAATGAGTCACCAGCTCGTTAACGACTGCCTTTGTACAGCGATTTCCATACCAGCATCGTCCAGTATGCTCCTGCTCACCTTAGCAATCGCTCTCTGCGTAGCGTGTAGCTTCACCGATGCCTCTTCAGACCCCGGCTGTACCATCACCTCAGATCTAAAATACCAAAAGCTTTCATCGTATGGGGAAGGTTTTGTGAAGAACGTCACAAAATGGTTCGGCCCAAAATTTGTGGGTTTCATCGAGGCAACGTTCCAGCTTCTGGAAAAGTAGCACGTTTTGATAGTAATGCGAAACTTTGCAGAGCGGTGGTGATCTAGGCATGGACTATTCAATTCAAGTGCCTTTCACCTACAAAGAAACAAACTTATCAGTTTGGTGCCAAAATATTTGGTATTGTTTCGATAGAGGTACGTTGCATTTATGTGAATATGATGTTGTACCATAATCAGTGAACTTTATATTTATTTCTGTAAAAGTTCCTAAAAGTATTGGAAGCGAAGGCATGTTTTGCGGAGTATGTGGTACGCAAACCAGCCTATCTAAACATACAGTCTGCCCTTCAACACTGGTTTCCGTGACTATGATTTCAATTTTTTTGAAATCTAGTTCTTGCTGAGCTTTCCCCTTCGCTTGTACCAACTGGGATCTTTTCAACGCATAGAGGAACAGTGAGGCGATGGTCGAGGGATCTCACATAATTCGCTGTGCATCGATGGGCCTCTCTAGCCGAGGGCTAGCTCCTCATATGAAGGTGATCCCTAGCATCTTAGACCTATCTTTCTATCTACCTACACCCGAGTTCATTGAAAATGAGTCTGTACGGAATAACCGCTACTTGTCAAAGCGCTTCAGAGTGCATTGAAATGAATTTGAAGTTTGTGTCTCACATTCCGGTTCAAAACACGGTCTCACATCTCACTCCTGGTTTTCCGAGACCTTCTTCCATTGAACATTCTGCATTCACCCCTGAAGTGACTGGGTTGTGTGTTATAAGAAATCCACAAGCTGCACTACCCTAGCCAAAAAATTCCGGAGCTTTGACAGCTAAAGCCTTAACTCTACAAATTCCTCTGAGTTGTTAACAAAATACTAGAGTGACTTTGCGCGGTAACCGACACCTAACAATGGCAGGTTCAGTGATAAAGGGAAAGGTCAGCAGCTTCGTGGTGGCACCTTCAAACTGAAAGCAGCGCAAGGCAAACTGTATTTTTCGAGGTCGCCCGATGACCTCTAGAAGAAAATTCATAAAATTGGGAAGTTCAGGCAGACATATTTTCTCCTCAGCTGTGTGGCACGATCCTCGTGGTAATTACTAATTCCATTAGCGATTTCTAGCGTTCCTTCTACAAACAAGATTTCACGCAAACCATTTAGGTCTTTCAGGACATGAAGCGTTTTTTCATAATAGTTTTGTATGCATGAAGAAGCACGCGCTGTGATCATAAAACTAAGGGCATTTTTCTGAGCGGCTTAGGAATTTTAAAATTCTTTTTTTTTTCGAAACCAGGGGTAGTGTTCGATCCTCACTGAGGGCTAATTTTTGCATTTCCTGATTTTCACGTTCCATCACAGTGCTCACGCTCTTGCTCCATCGCATCCATTGGCGCGCTTTCTGGTACTATAGAAGCGGAGGCATTCGCTCTGCTTCAAGTGAAGGACGTTTTGCCAGCTATACTTAATTACTGTGAAGTGCTACAACAGAAATGCTCTGAAAAGAGCAGTAGCAATCGTTCGTCTACATTTTTTGTGAACGTTTCAAATTTATACTTCAACATGAAGACGTAGTTGACAACAAACTCCTCGACAACCTGATTGCTAAGCGCCTCAATTATTGGCTTCAGTTTTTAGAGGTACTTTCCTCATTTTTCGTTATTTCACGCAAATTTAGCGGACAATTTAGGATGAGAAATAATCAGCACGTGTTTGTAAGAGAAGTCGTGTGCTCAGCTATTCCCTTCTGCAAAACAAGAAAGGGTGATAGTTCTTCCTGGTGCGCAGTTCATCGTTTTACCCATTTATTCTTTCAAATTAAGATTCGACTTGTAGATCAAGGAACAAGTTTAGCTATAGAACCATGGTGAGGAGCAACTATGCTACATATATACAATCGCGTGAAAGATATGTTTCAATTATATTTTACATTTGGCATGTGATTGGGCTGCTTTTATCCTGAGCGACAAAAATCAGTGCAACCTCTTGATATGTGCACAAAATATCTCTTCTCATGAATGGATGCAAGAAAAATATCAAATAAATATAAATAAGAATATCACAAAATCGAGCACGGTATGACGGAATTAAAATAATTTTACAGGCAAATATGAGTGCATTCGTCGAGTCGTGGAACGCAGGTGTGAAGCCAGGGGATTACTCTATTGGGCCATCGTACGCTAGAAGATTCGCCTATTTCTTGATGAAATGTGATAAGTGATTCAAAAGATAGTGCGTTTACAATCTTTGGCTCACGTGTTCTGAATAAACTTCTCAGCGTTCCGAGAAAAGCAGTCCAATATTCTACATCACTGTAGCACATTAAACTTTAGGTAATCCTTTGACTACTGGTGGTACACATGTGTACCACTTCCTTAGTCAAAGACACTACCACAGTTTTGTGACTCATTTGGACAGAAGAGCTCGCTTAATGGCTGAATTGTGCACATGCAGACACTTCATGATTCTCACTAGGAAAACAATCGTTACTCGTTCAATTGAGTCGTCCTGTACAAGTGAATAAAGCAAATCGCACCGCAGGTCACTGCTCAGTGTGAGCAACTTCCCAAAAGGAACTTTCCACAAGCTTCGTACACTCCTCCTACCTGCGTTAATGGCTTGAGTGTCTCACCAAGTTTTTGCACCAGGAGCAACATTAGCAAACGATCAAGACACATGGGTAGCTTTATCATCAGTTAATCCGTAATAGGACGGCGCGTTGTTTGATGACAGGGCTGAAGACCGCAATTTTCAGGATTCTGACATTCTGTAGTTGCAAACGGTTATCGAATTACTAGTTTATATCACGAGAAAACTCATTCGAGAGAAGATGGTGTGGTGGCAAGAGGATCTGCTGCCGCGCGCTTAGTTTCTGGATCAAATCCTAGTTCAGATCTGAGGACGTCAGCCAAATTTTTGTGCATGATCAGTTAGATACTTCGCAGAACACTCCGATAACTTACTCTCAAGAAAGTCGTAGTCTAAGGGTTAGTGGAGTGTGCACAACGAGTGGGAACAAGTGGGCACAACGTAATGCACAATAAACAACTCCCATAAATGAATGAAGTGTTGTGCGACAACTCGCCCGTTCACATGCGCTATTTTCACACGAAACCCTTGAGGCATTCAAATGCATGCTCAAAATATACAATTTTGACGCAACGACCAAGGTCTGTGATTTCTTTGAATGGTTCCTGTGTTGGATGTGATGCGCACAATAGCTGCCTGTAAATCAGAAACCCTAAAAAACACGCCGGCTGTGATCCAAGCAGTTTAGCTCTCCTCATGAATGTCTCTTCCTCTTGCAAAATTTATAGAAGCTCGCGAATTTCCTAGAATGCTCATATCTCAGTCTTGATGTCTATTTTTGCAACCAGCGCACCATACTCTATCGACTTGCTTAGAAAGTTCCAAAAAATTTTAAAGCATTTCTCCAGAGTCAACGTGAATTTGGGCTAGTTGGGCTCACTTTAGGAGGAATTTTACGGAACATTCTTCTGCAGATTTTTCGTTTGGAAAGGAAGGCGTCAATGAAGGTGGTGGGATCGTTCTCGAGGAATTCTTCCCGCTTTCCTTTTCTTTACCCTGACTCGAAATGCTCTAAGATTTAGATTAGAACACATGCTCATGGGATTGCCCAATTATAGTCGATCAAGGAAGAGTACTCTTTCCCTTCTATGAACCCACTAAAACATATAATTCTTTGTACTTGCTGATTTTGGAGAACTACCTGTTTCCAACAGCTCAGATTCAGTGTGATAATTGCCTGTTGAGCTGCAAAAGGGGCAAATGTGATGATTCTTATCACCTAATCAGATCTGGCTCGGGTCTAAGTTCTATAGACCTTGAAGGACGAATTCACGATTAGAAAGGAGGTCGAAGGAGTAATTCACCTAGTTTAGGGACCCACGGACTTGGCGCGGTGAGCCAGTGCGCGCCCATCGACTGATCGCTCGCCGTAGGTCTATACGTGGCGATTGATTCGATAGCAGAGAGAGCGTGGTGTTGAGGAGGGCACGGCGATGTAAGTCGCATCAACGCACAAATCAACGGGGGAAGGGTCCGTTTCTCGGGTTTCTCATGGTTTTGCCTTCTTTCGTGTACCACTCTCCATCCGTAGGTCAATTTGAAATGAGTTGCTTTTTCATCATGAATTCGTCCTTTGAAGCCACGAGTCGGAATTAGATCCCAAGAGCCAGTACCTTCTCGATTGAGAAAGAGACGTCCCCAAGGGGTGAGGCATGACAGTTGGGAGGCTAAGACGCTAAGGCCTTGCCTTGTGTGCTGCCGTGCTGCCAGCGTATCAACCACGGCATACGTGGTCTCTGCGTCCTCTCGCGTACGACGTACTATCTCGCGTTCTCCCTCTCCTCGCAGCGCTGTGTCTCTCCGTCGTACTACGGCCGGCCTCCTAAGGGAAATTTAGTGTTCCATGGGGCTTTTTGCCTTTTCCACCACCAATATTCCTCGTTGCACTCCTTTGAAACAAAACAAAGAATCAGTTCTATAGCAACTGATGCCATTAACTAGGAGCTCAGAGGTCGAGATGCACTCGGTTCACTTAATCGTGTATAACAAGCACAGATTACAAATAAAAAGGTTAGGATTGAGCAAAAACATAGAAATTAGAAATTTTTAGGGGGAATAATCAAAGAATTAGTTCGACTTCCGTTTCGCACGTGCCCTTAGACGGAAGCCCAACTGGAAAAATAATATTACAAAGAAATAATACAAGTAGAAGGTGGGATCTCAAAATAGCTGTAAGATAGACTTTGTTATTAATTTTTTCATTAGTACATTGGGTTGCTCGAGCTTTGCCGAGGAGTGGCTATTTTACAAAAATTGTTAAAATGTTAGACACTATTCCAGTATTACTGCCCCAAAATCCCAAAGTTTTATTTTTCGTCGAAACTTTGCCTATAGAGGTAATTCGATACCCTGATGAAAAAAATGATGTTTATTTTCAACGGTGACACCACATTGTCAAGGCGGCCCTTCCCACCAAATTCGGTGTAGGCCTGTGTGTAGGGCTTATCTGAAGTCCTGATTACGAAGACGACATTAACTTTCGGAATTGGCGCTGTCTAACTCATATTTTCTGCTTTCCTGGGTTTTCTCACGTGGGTGCAGCACCTAAGGGTAAGCTTGTTGGGAAGGGGGACCACAAGGTGGGTAAGCTGCGCATCGTATGGCAAGATATGAAGCGTGATCACATGGTGGTGGCTTGTTCACTGCAGGGTGTTGGCCTTGCTCGACTTTGATCTTCATCTCCCCAAAGACTCAATCCTGATTGCGATCAGACCCGTGGGCGTAGAGAAGCAGAGTTGCTATGAGAGGTTTCATATAAGCCTATCAAAAGCTGATGACTAGGCCACAAGTTCCCTTGACTGAAGGTCAATAGAATTACGCTCGTAAGGATAGCAAAGCGTTAGCATAACTGGCCTGGGACAAAAAAGCTCCCGAGTTTTTGGAGACTTGTTTCGTACGAAAACGGACCTCAGATGTCTACTTCTAGCAAGATATCTAATATCATCGCATCATCACAGTTAAGTGTCCCAGAGAACAAGCTGTTGTAAGTCTTGAAGCTATCCTAAGCTTCTCTATAATTGCAAGTGCAAGAGCTGATACCATCATTCTTGATCACAGATATTTCACGCCTAGTAATTGTGTATTATGACATCGACCATTCGTGTTTGAGGCTGCTATCGTTAGTGTAATTTTTGCAAGTCATGACCATGTACAGGCATATTCGAAAAACCATGGCCACAGGGTTGAAAGTGTTTTCTAGCCGCAGCCTCCTCCCACGTTTTGTTACGTTGCCGGGGAAACTTTGCGCATTTACTACTTCATTTTGCGAAACTTTTAGGGATGGTTTTGGAAGAGTGACAAAAGCATGTGAGCATGGTCAATGCTCTCTTCAAAGCATTCCTGCCGCAGTATTTCGCAGCGAATGCAGCTGAAAAATCGTCCTCAACCGAAAAGCA